TGTTAACGGCTACCTTGATTTATGTTATATGCACCTATTTGTTTCTAGCCGTACCTATTGTGTAATAGAGTGTATCTGGTGGTACTTGAATCTGTTCAACCATGAAGCCTCCGTGGTCTAGTGGTTAGGACACTCGCCTTGACAGCGAGAGGTCGCAGGTTCGAGTCCCGCCAGAGGAATTTTATTACACAATTTCTTTATTCATTTATTTACAGGACTACATTCGTTGAGAGCTATGCTACACGATGTATTATTATGTCCTTTATTCAAACACTGTATTTACCTTTCTTTGATGATTTATATATATATATATATATATATATACATATACATATATATATATTTACATATATATAAAAAGACGTTAATATTATGCTCATTTGGATACAAATATGTAAGTAAAATCACATCTCCATTATAGTACGTTAAATTAATCCATAGAAAACATTTAACAGCAGTTGAGCCTCCATTCGTCTGGTACTGCCACTCTGTTAATAGTTGACATCTTTGGTCATTCTCATGCACATCTTATCTGTGTTATTTTCTGAATAAAAACAGTTTGTGAATTATTTAGCAATAGGAGAGTAAATATACTGTTGCTAATTATTCAGCAATCACATGCATTCCTGAACTAAATAAACTGCACATTCTAAAGATAGAATGATAATAGGCTTACACTGAGCTACATGACAACGAAATAATACACAGGCCTATAAAATGCAAGGTTAGATTTACCAGCATGCAGCTGGATTAACAACCGCCACCGCTACCACCACAGCCGCCGCAACCACCACAGCCAACGCCTCCGCCACCACCACAGCCACCGACACCGCCGCCGCCACCACCACCACCACCACCAACAACAACAACAACAACACTATCAATATCAACACAACCATGGACACACTGAAATAATGAAAGAAATTAGAATCAGGATGCATGGCTTGTTTGTTTACTTCTCTCAAACTTACGACACACAACAATGCACCCACAAATGCACATAGCTGCTACATGGAATCAAAACGATAACAAAAATGGCTGTAAGGTAAAAGTAAATCCACAATTAAACGAATTTTCAATATTGACTGCATATATATAATATATATATATATAATATATATATGTATATATATATGTATATATTTATACATATATATACATATATATACATATAATATATATATGTATATATATATATGTATATATATATTTACGACCATTATAAAGTTTATCATTCATTGTCATTTAATCCTTTGTTAATTCCTTAATGATCAGTGTACCTCTGCCTTTCAACTACCGAATTCACTCTGCACATGCTCAGCCTTACAATTAATCAATCTGTGATAATCTTAGTCATTAGACTATTTTATCTAAGGAGTGCTGCACCATGTATGTGCTGTCTCTTATACACATCTAGATGTGTATAAGAGACAGGTTATNACGACTTGGTAGACTTTGAACAAAAATTTTATATATATATATATATATATATATATATATATATACTGTACATACACATATGTATACATACATATATATACACATATATATACACATATATACATATATATTCGTATACACATATATGTATATATAAATAGACGAGATCAGCATATATATATATATATATATGTAATGTATGTAGTTCGATTCATACGCTTTATACCGTGATCAAAGCGCTGTGGCCTAGCTGGCTATATCAGCAATTGACGACTTCTTCTAGGTAAATAATGATATGATAGAGAAAGTCTAACTCGTCTTGCCAGAAATACATAAAAATACATTTTTCAAAGTGAATGATGATTAAAATAAATACAGTATAACGTTTATTGCAACTGTGTAAAGAGATACTTACCAAATATATCAGTGTCAGTCATTGTCAAATTTGTCTAAGATGTACTAGTACCTGAAATATTACAGAAAAAGAATTTATTAGGCCTACATTTTATAACACCCACACATACATGTGAATGGCCATAAACTAATGACACTGAAAAAAACAAAACAATTAAAACATTAATTATATCAATTAATAATTTATATAATTATATAATTAATTATAAAAATCACAATTATTGTCAGTGACTAAAAGAACACCCCTCAGTTTCATACTATTAAAATTAATATGTTAAATAACAATCATTAATTGACTAAATATTTTTTTATTAAACTACTGTAAAATGAATAATAAAATCATTAATAGCTGGCTGTAAATCGCGCTTGCTGCATACACCAATAAGGATTTCATGCATTAAAGTAAAAAAAAAAATTATCAGTATTTCTACTTACAGTTCAGGTTTCAACGGAAATATTCAGTCAGAACTTTATTGACTGAAATTAATTCCAAGTACATTGTCAACGTTTATATAGTAGTTATATTTAACTGTCGATAAGCTCGAGCGTATGGACATTGTGTGATGGGGTGAATGGAAATTTCATGATGGGTTGTATGGAAATGTTATGAGTCGAATAGCCGATATAGTGTTTTCATGCCAATAAATATCTGGATTACGTGATATGTTTACATCTTAAAGCAAATGATGCATGTCATCTATTGGCTCTTCTTAGAGTTTTTCCACTGTTAGTGTAGTACCAAATAGCATCTGTAGAAGTAAATAAAATATGAGTAAAAGAAGAAAAACCAATGATGGTAGGCCTACATGTCATAATTGATTACCGCAGAGATATTTTCGGAATGCGAAAGTTAACAAATGAAGTAATAACAGTGGGATTAATTTTACAATAGGATTCATTTAACAAAAGAACACTTTGAAATACTGAACTGACCTTTGCCGTCAATAGCCTGTACTCTGTCCCTGTTGTCTATAAAATGGCGTTTAAATTTTGGTATAAGTATGATAGAACTACTCGTTCTAAGATATTTTGTTTGATTAGCGGAATCGTGAATTTCATTGCTATTGGGTTAACCTATATCATCATAGGAATTATTACTAAACCAGTTGCTTACGAGATGAATTGTAGCGAGGGGTTCGTGTCTTTCTGGGGAGCAATCCAACTGGCAGTATTGACAGGAATTGGTAAGTACTTTAAACCAAAAACAAGTAATATAAATTGTAATAATTTTTTGTGGTTGATGAGGAATTATAATAAATGGAAGTTATTCCCATATGTACTAAAATAAAAACATATTTTTTTTCAATTCATTTTGGGATGCTGTGACTGCAATCTAGAGCAGGGGCCCGTTTAGTTGCATGGAATTATCTTTCGTTGATCATATGATACACATTTGGGACCAAAAAAATAAGTTTCCCCTTAATAGTGGTGTCTCTTGAAGGGAACACCTCTATCCCTTAATAGTGGTGTCCCTTGAAAGGAACACCTCTATCCCTTAATAGTGGTGTCCCTTGAAGGGAACACCTCTATCCCTTAATAGTGGTGTCCCTTGAAGGGAACACCTCTATTCTGGGGAAACTGACGTGAAATTATTCCCTTAATATGGTTTTGGCATGTTTCCTATACAATGATTACATTTATTTATGTATTTATTTATTACATTTATTTATTTATAATTTTATTAATAACTGACCTAAGAATGAGTTACAGTTGAATTGAACTAATTAATAACAAGAATTTGCTATGCAAAAACAATTAAGGATATGAAGCAACAGCAATGTAATTAAAACAAAAAATGTTGTATATGTTCTCAATATTGTGTCATGATTTGAGTACAATGTTAATGACGTGTATTGTTTCCAAATAGGTCCCACTGGAAGTGCACTACTTAGAAGATTTGGTATGAGGAGGTTGGGAGGTGTTGCTGGGTTCGTGTCATGTTGTGTCCTACTCTTTCTCTCGATTGGTGCTAGAAACAAGTGGATGTTTGTTATAGCGGTGTGCTTACAAGGTAACTAGTGAAGGCATAGTTATGAACAATATCTAGATCAATATATGGTAAGACAAAATGGATGCTTATAACATGGTCTCATTTATGGTCTATATTAATCCTGTAGTTCATATAAATGCACTGTATATACTATATACTGTTTATGTACTGAGAGTGACACTCATTACATATGCTTCAAGGTTACATTGTTATTTTTTTTTAATTAACGCCCATTGATTGAAATATCTATTTATAATCACCTTTATTGTATAATTACTTAGCACTGTGCAATGTCAGAGGTAAATATAATATATATATATATATATATATATATAATTATATATATATATATATATATATATATATATATATATATATATACATACAGGGTAGCCTACGATGTTCCATCCTGTCCTTATTAAACACTGTATATGTACCTTTGATGATCATATATTATATTTATTCAACAGTGTTAACGACTAACTTCCTTCAATATCATATACAATATACGACAGTATTTATTTGTAGCCGTATCTCCAGATTTATCTGGCCGAACGCCCTCTGGAGGCGCACCATTGTGTAATACAATGTTCTCGACGGTTATTTGGACCTTTTCAACCTTGAAGCCTTCGTGGTCTAGTGGTTATGACGCTCGCCTTCTCAGCGAGAGGTCACAGGTTCGAATCCCGTCGGCGGCATTTTATTACACAATGACTTTTTATAGGACTTTATTCGTTGAAAAGCTACAGGGTAGTCTACGATGTTCCATCATGTCCTTATTAAACACTGTATATGTACCTTTGATGATATATATTATATTTATTCAACAGTGTTAACGGCTAACTTCCTTCAATTCCATATATAATATTATATATATATATATATATATATATTTATATATATTGTTTACAGGTTTGTGTCTAGGTACGATATACACGGCAACTTTTGTGGTAGCTGCAAAAACATTTACGACTCGCCTTTCCCAAGTGAATGCTGTTCTGCTTGTTACATCCGTTGTACCAGCTGGGTTAGCTCCATTGATTCAGGTGAGAATATTGCATAAGCCTAACTCGTCTAATTCTATATATTGAAATTCAGATTTTTATATATTGAAATTTTCTACAGCTATACGATTGATTGCATACACATTCAAGATATCTAGACAATGCCATATGCTTAGATGGCAACTTACACATATTGCATTTCCTCATATTTGTTTCTTATACTATTGTAACGAAAATGGTTCCCGATATAAGACTAGGGAAAAGCCAATGGGATGAGAGGTCTGGAGGTCCGTTGAGGATAACGCCACGTGGAATAGACGGTCCTGGGTTAACTAAAGAATTGTAGGTATAATGTTGTTTGGATCTTAATAAAGTTTACATGACTAAAGTTGATGTCATATGATCGTCCATAGCCTGTTGTTTGTATGTGTTGTTTCGTGTTACATTTCCATATAAATTTTAGGAACGAACTCGGTATAAAACCGTTACGCTATTAACTGAGAAAATTATCATAACCATATATCGTTAAATGACTTTTTCATATTGGTAAAATGATAGCAATTATATACTGTCTGTTTATTTTTTTTGTTTTTTTTAAAGAGTTTTAAATAGCAAAATTTAAATAGGAATAATGTCCTCACCAGCAACTAAAGTGATAAATAATACAGTTATATTACGATGTTAACTTGGCTGATACTTAAAATATTGAATTATCATAACAGATTGTCAGTAAGTCAATGATAGCTTTTTATTAGTTTATCATGATTATCAGTGCATTAAAAATGTATTTGATCCATTTTATAAATGATATGTTTTGGGTGGGTTTTCATACCATTACCTCTAATAGTCTGTTCACTATTTCAATTGTTATTATATAAAAAAATGTAATCTTTATTGTATTTTCCCAGAAATTGGTGGATAATTACGGTTGGAGAGGTGCAATTGCTATCGTAGCTGCAGCTCACTTGCATGTGACGGTTGCATCCTTCCTGCTGAATCCCAGAGTTGGCAAAGTTGAGTTGGATCTCGAGGATATTGAAGATGATTATCAAACTGACCTAGAAAATCATTTTAAAAACATTAATGGATTCTTTAAGAAAACCTTGAAACGTCTTCATCTGGAAGTCTTCAGCAATAACCGTCAGTTGCTAGCATTGTGTCTGTCTGTAATAATCGGAGGCCTTACTATGACGTCATTTTGGTTGTTTTTTGTTCCATATGCTGTAGACTCAGGCATCTCTCCTATTGACGCCAGTGAGATTTTGTTGGCATCAGTTATTTCATGCGTTTTGATTAGACTTTTTCTATTTTTATTTGGTGATATTGACGTTACTCTAATAATAAAAATATCTGCAGTTGCACAGTTATTCGAATTAACATCGTTTTCTATATTTGCAATTGGACATAATTTTTTGATATTTTATATCAGCTCAGCTTTTCACGGATTTGCGTTTGGAATGCTATGGCACGGATATGTTACTTTAGCGACTAAGTTTGTTAGAAAAACAAATGAAATAGATGACGCAATTTCCTGGATATTGTTGGCAGAAGGAGTAGGATCGATATCATCAGCAATTGTAGGTAAGAAGATGTACCGGTATTTATGATAAAAAAAATTCTACAAACTCAGCCTAGAATTTATGTAACTAAACCGAATAAATACTAAAAAATATCTTTAGTCATAAATGACACAACATTTGCAGTGTATATTATTGGTTTGGCGTTTGTTTAACTCCCAATAAAAATTGATTAGTGTAAAAAAAAAAATTGTTTTAATTTTTAAAAATTAATTTTTTTCTGGTAATCAATGATGATTCTAACCAATGCAATTTATTTCTATATTTGTTCAGGTTTCTCTGTCAACAGTTACCGTCTCGGTTTTCAAATATGCTGTGGCGTCCAATTAATTGCGGTCGTATTGGTAGTATACATACTTATACTGCAGAAAAGAAAGCCGAACAACATCTGAAAAAATGGGTTTGTAAAGAATCCTTCCGATCCTAAATAAGGAGGAAAGCGTTTTATCTTCTGAAGGTTTTTCTAGGTGGAACACAAGGACATCTATTTGCTGATAGATCATTTTTGTGCTAAGTTCCATGCCTGTGGAATTGTCTAACTTAACCGAAGACGCTATTCTTTACATTAAAGATTATCTGTGAAGATTATGAAGCACTTTAGAGAAAATTGATTTGGATTTGGTTAATTATTAATAATTATTAATTTATTATTATAACCTTAAGTGTATAAATATAATACTTTCTGTTATATATATCATATATCAAGTTCAAATTACATTTCAAAATATCATCATTGTAGCCTTGCAGCTAATACGAATGGTACATTATAAAAAAAATAGACCTAGGTCTATTTGCATTGCACAAAGTTTACGAAACAACAATACAAACACAAATTCAAATGTTCTTGGTAAAGTTATACAACAGTAAAAATACATTGATATAAAAATTAAACTATGAATTATAATAAACTGATTAATCTGAGCTTAATAAGTTAGTATTGAGGTTTAAGTATATAATGCAAGTCTAAGTACAAGTTGCTGGTTGAAGATAATAATGAAGTATGGAATTGGGCTTAACTATTGCTGTATCTATTAATATTTTAAAGTACGTAGTTTGAATTGATTTTTCTTTCTCAAACTATATCAGTGGTCTATTTGAGGAGGTATAAAGGAACTAAAATTTGGTGATTTGCATAATTGGTGAGTAAATTTGTTTTTCTACACTCCAGCATTTCTATGTTACACAATATTAGAGCACTATTGTAGTTATTGTACGAGTTGTCAAATATGATTCTGAGTGCTCACTTCTTTGTATGTATATGAGGACCATTCAGATAAAAACGTTCCAGACCTATATTAGATTAGTAACAACTCAGACTTACACAGTCCAACAAATAAAAGTTTTGCCAAGTTTAATTCGCAATTTAAGTTTGTCCAATAGTTTAAGTATTTTATATAGAAATTGCAACAAACTGACTTGGTGACATTAATATTTATGCAGAATGTGTACGTCTAAATAAACAGCGATCGCCTTAGTCAGCGCTGAATATGGTCTTTCAAAACTCTTCATATTTATTTATTTACATTTGTTTACCCGGAGTAGCCCAAACAGTTAAAACACTGATTTCCATTGGGGCCCTGTATTTAAAGCACATGGTCGTAACCGATTATATTTTCTTAATTAGTGCCTCGTAAAATTTGTATTTAAATACGTTTAAAGAAGTCGCAGTTCTCAAATCAATATCTAAGTCATTCCATATATTCGCCCCGGTTACCTTAACACTCGTGGAATAACTTTCGCTTTTCGAAAAAGGAACCTTCAACTTCATAATAGTTGACTGTCTCGTTTCACGAGCTTGCAAATACAGTGTGAAAAGGTTTGCCATGTATAAAGGTGTTAATCGGTTAATGCATTTATAAACAAGTATAGCTTTTGTATACGTAACCCTTTCGGAAAACGAAAGCCAACTGATTTGTGCAAACATATCTGCAGATGGGGTAAGAAAATTGCATTTTAAAACTATCCTAGCAGCTCTTTGTATACATTTGTTAAGTAAGGCATTGTGGGATATGTAACGACCTCCCCATACAGTGCAGCAATAGTCTAAAGATGTTTAACTAAGCTTACAAACAGAGTGTTTAGGCTTCTTTGGGGGACACAATTACCTATTCTACTTAACATACCCAGTCTGGATGAAACAGTTTTCTTGACGAATTCAACATGTGGTGTCCAACTCAAAGTTTCGTCAATGATGACAACAAGACACTTACATGATTTCGTTCTAACAATTACAGTACGGGCAATGGTTACATTGAAGTCTACATTGGAAATTTTCTTTTTGGATCCAACGAGCATGGATTTAGTCTTGTTTGAGTTAATTGTAAATTTGTTTCTAATGGTCCAATCGTTAACTATGTCCAGTGCGACATTTAAATTATTTTCAATATCCTTAACACTGGAGGAGCAACAGGTTAACGTTGAGTCAGCAGCATACATAAATAGTTTACAATTTAGAGGGATACAAGGTGACAGATCACTGGAATAAATAATAAATAACAGTGGTCCCAAAATCGATCCTTGTGGTACGCCAGTGTTTAATGGCAAAGGTTTTGATAATTTCCCACCAATATTAACAGATGTCTCTTATACACATCTAGATGTGTATAAGAGACAGATCCCGCACCCACCTCATCAATTCAACACAATTTTTTTTTTAAATATCCCTGGAAACATACAGTGATTACATGACCAATGTTGCAGCCGATGAAAACTGTGTCTAGAACTGCTTCAGTGTTGATTTTGATTGTGATGTTTTTGGTTTTCTTTGCGTCGCCCTCTCGTCAACCCGGCCTGGTTTAAAGTGAACTTGTCGGTTTGAGGACAAAAATAACGTTCAACATAACAATAACTGTTTCTGTGTATCTTATCATTGTGTACTGTTACGTTGCATCCAATAGTTTTGTTTAATTAACTTAGTAAGCTTAACTTCGTCGATAACTCATGTTTTGATACAGGCCCAGGCTTACATTTTGCAGTTGTAGGCCTTGCATAATTTTTTTTTTCATTCGTCCGAATCAACAGCCACTTTCATGTATTACCTCAGGCTTCGAGCTAAAAATAAGATCGATCGTGGTTTGGGTGGAATTTGTGACGCGGGTTTTGTCGTGTATGAGTTGCGTCATTTGAAACAAATCGAAGCATGTGGATAAAAGATTGGTACTATTTTTTTACTCTGAATGGACATGTAATCAACTCAACCTTAGACTCGTGAATCTATGATTCATTCAAAATGTATACGTTGTTATAAAAGTATCTTCTATGCTAATTTCATTACATTTTAGACGTTAATATACGCCACTTTCGACTCCGCTTAATGCATTAACATAGCCTTTTGCCTTTGTGTAGAAATTTATACCCTCTTGGCGAAATCGTGATGATGTCATCTTTGGTGTTGCAGTTAGATTGCTCTAGTGGAATGTTGCATAACTGTACATAAAACTTAATGAATGATATATATTTTCTGGATGGAATTCGTTTATATTTTATGTTTACTTTATACCAAGAAAAACACATTTCATGTATTTTTGTACATGATTGAATAAACTGAGCCTTGAAACTTAAACCCTTGTTTGTTTGAAATAAATGAAGTACTCACCTACTGGTGCCAAACATTTCCGAAACAGTTTACGGATCAGCTGAACACGCGTAATATGGACATTTATTGCTTTATTTCAAACAAATATTTTTGTGGTCGGGCCTCCTTTTGCTGTGTATGAACATTCGTGTAGTGTAAAACACTTTCTATCGCTCAAACAACAGTAAACTTACTGTTCAGTAGAAGACACCCAAAACTAGAAAGTTAAAGTATAGAACTCACGAATATTTTATGTGGACTCGCACACTTCTGCTATACAACATCCGACTCAAACGTATTACACAACCGAACGAAAAAATTAGAAAGAAGCGGATTTCAACTGATTTGTGTAGGGATATATACCAGGATACACCAAAAAAAAGTTAGGTGGGCTTTGGGATGGTGAATTTTTTTTATGAGGGGTCAAATGTCATTAATCCCGGTCTAAAATACTAAAAAATGCATCTCCCGAACACGCTATAGTATATGGTGGATCTTGGTGTCAAAATGCACAGAATTATAAAACAAATAAAAAACAACTAATATTGAAAGCCTTCATAATCAATTCATGACCTTGAAAAATTAGGTCAAAATGTCAAAAATTGTATTTTTAGTCACTTAACTGCCATATATCATTAAAAAATATTACAATGAATGTGATTTCAACTGACTTGTGTAGGAGTACATACTAGGATAACACCAAAACAAAGTTAGGGGTATAGGAGAGTGGGGAAATTACGTTTTTGAGGTTAAAGGTCAGTGACCCAATTTAAAACACTAAAAAATGTATCTTGGGAACACTCTATGATATATGGTTCATTTTGGTGTCAAAATGCACAGAATAATGCAAAAACTAAGAAAATAATATAAAAGGACCCTCATGACCAATGCATCTCCTTAAAAAATTAGGTCAAAGGTCAAAATTTTAGGAATTGATATTACAAAAATGGCATTCTAGGCCATGGGGTGAAAATCCTAACGTTCAGTCCCGTTCCGAAATTTTCCTAATACTTTTACTCATTATGATAATTATTATAATAATATTTAAAAGCACCAAAAAAAAGTTCGACCGTCAGAACTTCTGCAAATACGAGAAAATGACGTTTAAACTTACGAAATTGAAAGTTCTTTGCGCTAGATTAGCACACGACATTTTGCATACGTCACTGTACTCGTTCGAATATTGTATTTTTGATACGTAGTTTATTATTTGCGAAATTCGTATTACTGCTTTAGAAACAAATTAAAAAATTATAATTAGATATAGTTTGAATTTTAATTACAGAATCATATTTTTTAGACTACTATTAAATTGTTTTTGTTACAATAACTTCACGTGTTGTGGTACAGCCAACAACAGTAAACAACAACATGGCGACTAGCGGCGGACAGTTTGCTGGTGTTGTAATAAAGTGTTGTTTTCACCGCGAAGAAATTGCTAATGAAACTCCAATTCTAGTTACAGCAACCAGATTCTTGAAGATTGTTACTTGTAACAAATTATGGATAGTTTTAGACAGTCATAACCGAACTATAGCTGACAAACTTGTGTCTTAACTAGCCTAGGATGTGCCTCCTCTTGTGTCTTGGTTGGAATGGATGAGGGAAAGACATACGATTACGAGGATGTGATAAGACTTTCACCCTGTTTGCTATCGTCGTTACATCGACACGAAATCGATAGCAATGATAAGTTATTATTACCAAGTGTAGTGTAGTCCCGTCAGTACCTTACCCAGACACATTGTACAGTGTATTAAAAATATTCTTTAAAAAAATGGTGCTGACTGTGCAGGCCCTACCTCACTTAGGTTCGTGAGTTTATTTCCCGTACGATTG